TGAATAGTATCTATCCTTTTTCGTTTCTCTTCTCTCTCGTTCTCTACGAGGACAAGGACACTCCATCCTTTTCAGGCAGACAGGAAGCGGATCTACTGGTGAGCAGTGAGCACGCCTCAAACTGCACACCCAAGAAGAGCATTCTCTACACTATGCTGCTCTCGACAGGATCCCGGGAATATCTACCGAATTGTCAGTGGCATAGCTATCTCTATCTGCCTAATGAATTGAGCCTGTGGCTGGGGCTGAAACAATCGTATACGATCGTGGATTATTACTGTTGGTTGGTTTGGTGTGAGAGAAAAATACTGTTCTGGCTGAAAATTTACGATCGTTTACGACCAAGCGAACAGGCTGATATTTGCAGACGACACGGGAAGGGTCAGGGACGTAGTACTATTAGTGCAAAGACCAAAATGGCAGGATTGCTGGAAAATGGGACCAAGGGTTTGACCTGATGAGGTTATGGTAAGGAGGAGTCACATGCAATGCAGAGTTCATCTTCCAACACACACCGTGACACCGGTCCGGAGGGACATTTGATTTCAGGCAGTGGTTGCTTTCACTGCTGCCAATCCACTAATTCTTGGTGTGTTTCTTCTTCGCTGCACATGATGGTGTGCCCCAACAGCAGCACTGGCACCAACAGGCATAGTAGGACTCAGAGAATGGATGAATTGAGGGATCGGCGCATGGTCCCTTGCTCGTGAAGATGGACGCCCAAGGCCGGACGGAGTAGGACCATCCGTACCATGGCTGGGCTCTGCGCTGCCCTGTCCCTCCCCCGTCCAAATCTCAAGCGCCGATGTGTCCAATCTAGCCAGCCTATCCTCGTCGAAGGGGGTGTTTGGTTCGGGAGACTAATTTTTAGTCCCGTCACATCGGATATTTGACACTAATTTGGAGTATTAAATATATTCTAATTCCAAAACTAATTGCATAGATAGAGACTAATTTGCGAGACGAATCTATTAAGCCTAATTAATTCATCATTAGCTTATATTTACTGTAGCACCACATTGTCAAAGCATGCACTAATTAGGCTTAATAGATTCGTCTTGCAAATTAGTCTCCATCTATGTAATTAATTTTGTAATTAAAATATATTTAATACTTCAAATTAATATGTCAAACATATGGCCTAAAAATTAGCCTGCAACCCAAAAATTAGTCCATGCCATTAACCACCAACACACTGTTACCTGAAGTTGCACCCTGTCCTTGCCATTCACCAGATTCACCACTCACCAGACACTGTAAATGTCGACGAAATCAAAAACTAACTGTTACCTGGCAATGAGATTTAACAACCAAGCGAAGGTTTGGGCGGCGCTGAATCGGCTCTGCGAACACTGCAACACACGAATATAATGCTCCTGATGTCCAATCCTCAATCCAATCCTATAGGATTGAGTGAGATGTGCTGAAGTTTGGATGGTTCATAGGAAATGAATCATGAGATAGTACGGAGTAGCACAACGGAAGGAGCGAGTGTGCATTGGTCTTCTCAAAACATGAAAGCTTGAGCTCATGTTTCAAGGACCTGTTTGTTTAGCGGGAGCTCCAGCACCTTCCAACCTGAATCTAGCATAAGCTCTACTAAACAGATTTTTACTAAAGCCTTGTTTAATTATGCTTAATAAATTCGTCTCGTAGATTACTGAGGACTTCTATAATTTGTTTTATTATTACTATCAAACACTCACATGACACCCCGATGTGACATCCCTAAACTTTACTCCCTAGATTTAAACACCACCTAAGAAGTGATTCTATGCTGATTCTGTGAGGTAGTTATCTGAAATAAACTAGTCCATTTGGTATAGCTCAGCCTAACAATAAATCATTTTTTTTTTGCTTCGGCTCTATGAGTAGTTTTACCAGTAAAGCTAAAGCTGTTTTGATTAAACCATTTGGCAAAACAGCCTTACATATAGATTTTCTTAAAACATGCTCTCATAGGATCATGGCAACAAGTGTGAGGTGAAACTATGAAAAGCTACTATTTTCAGCTTCATCCTATCATATTTCTGTGTTAGAGCATGATTTAAGGAGCTTTTATATAAAGTTTTTTGCAAAATACTTGATTGGCGAAAAACAGCTTCAACACAGCTCTTGAAGTTGGTGGTGAAGTTGTGCCAAAAAAAATAGTTTCTCCTAATTCATCATCCCACACATAAAGTCATTGTATTCATAGAATTTATTCTATCGTAGAAAAACATTTTCCATCAATCACTTCTCCTAGAGAATCAGCTTTTACATAAAATCTAGAGCATGAGAAACTCTACCAAATTGTAGGCCCTAAGTCTCCTGTGGGATTGAAGTTGAGGTGTATAAATGCATTCCATAGGAGTTGTGCCAAGTGCATTTCTTTGTTCCATATGGCATTTGCTGGTCTCTTAGAATTTCGCTCGGCTTTCTTGGTAGCAACACCACCCACCCCCTAACAGACAGACAGACAACCTTGGTAGTGAGAGAATCGAGAGCGATCTGGATCTGGCGTTCCATCAGCACCAGCAAGTTCTGGGCCATGCCCCATGCAACAGCACCACCCGTGGCTCACTCAACAAACAGTAAAACCAAAGGCAGGCAACCTTTTGAATTCATTGCCACATCAATTAGCAGCAGCAGTAGTAGCTTTCAGGGAAGCAGAGATTAGATTGGATCAGAGTGTCAGACATACACAAAGGACCTTGCCAAGCCACCGGCGCATGTGTTATGCGTGCCGTGTGCGCGTCTGAACTCTCAAGAGCAGACGCAACCAATGGCAGATGGATGTATCCTATCATTGCTTGCTTGAGATCAAAGAAACTGCATCATAATTTGAAATGAACGCTTCTTCTTTCCAGAGCAGAGCAGAGGAGGGATTTGGCTACCTACCTAGCTGTACATGTGTTCAGTCATTTCCATCCATTACTACGATGTGCTCACTCGTGCCGACGTGCCGTGCTGTGCATGGTCCCGTCCTGCTGGAGGACATCCTTCGAAGCGCTTGACAGACAAGGATGGCGTTTGCCCAGTACAGAATGATAGATCCAAAATGAAATGAGCACAAAACAGCCCAAGGAATATCTCATCTCTACGGAAAATAGACAATTATGGGCCCTGCCATCAGCATCAGCAGCCAAAACCAGAGTCACGGAGAGCACAAGCAGAATCATGTAATAATGTAATATACATACAGATCTAGGAAATCTTCACAAAGAATGGAAGCTGACAAGTGCTGCTGTCCTGGCCGCCTCTAGCGCGAACCCTACCAGTGACATTTGGTAGCTTGTGTTCATCGAACCAGACAGGCTGTAAAACCAACTCTAGTGTTTCATAGTCCTAGCAGATAACGCACAATCTGAGGCCAAATGATACGAGACATCATCATCACTAGTATGGGTCGGTAAATGATTTCATGATACAGACATTGACCCATGACACCTCTCTAAAACAACTCCCTCCTGATCAAGCCCCAATTCAAAAGTCTTGTGCACAATAAAACCATCTACTAACTCTGCTATTACTGAGCAAAGCAGCTTCAGATGTACGACAGCAACAAAAACACGGAACAAGTACTAACAAGAGGTTCCTTCACATGGACATAAGCTTCAGGCCATTGTCAGGCTTTCCCATTCCAGCAGCAAGTTCAGCATCAAGTTGCGTGTGTGGGCTGGCCCAGACATTACCTTGACCCTACAATCATCCAAAGCTTGTGATTAGACAAAGCACACGCCACAGCAGACAGAATCATGCTGCTCACGTGTACCAGAACATGTCCTACATCAGATTTTTCACATGTTCCGCCAACGGGAAAGATCATACTGGTAATGTAGTATATCTGCTTTCAACCTTCAGTTACTATCACAGGACCAACACTAATTTAGCTATGGTATCATATCAAACCACACAATAAGGTCCCTCCAAGTTTTATCATCTGTTCTACTCTAGATAACAGGTCAACTGCAGAGAGCTGTATTACAGTATTCTAACCATCTGAATTCATTGGTCCTAGCAATATCAACCAACCGGTTCTTTTTTCTTTAATTGAAATTGAGAATGACCATGCAACAAGCATAGTAAGTGCAGGTCATCACATGTTTTGCCAATTGGTAGCATAAATCAAATGTGTTCAGGGAAGATTTTCTTCAACATTATCTCTGAATGATGAGTACAGCGATATTACTTAGAGCAAACAGAATGAATCACCTTTTCTTGTGGCGCTTTGAGCGGTAGTGGTCATCCTTCACGCTTTCACTTGCAAAGTAGCGACTGCAGCCAAAGCCAATACCAGATATATATGATTATCAGTAGAAGATTAGACTACAGATAGCACAATTACAAGATAAGTGCAGTTCATCACAAGCATGGTAACGCCAGCAATCACACCTTAAATTGTAGCCACATTTTACTAATCCCTCTAAATCAATTCAAGGCATCTACTATCAGTTAAATTCCAGGCAGCATCAAACCACCTAAACATCACCCAAAGTTCACCATTTTACTCTAAACTGGACAACTCAGCTGAAACACACAGTTTATTAATATCAGCACAAAAGTTGGCAGCAGCTTACAAATTGTGCACGTACATACAACTAATTCATCAAATGAACCAACCCTAGCTCACTGAAATAGCCCTACTGTTTGGATAAGACAATACAAGAGTGTTCAGGAACAGCTAGTATGATCTTCTATCTTTTTCTGTATATATATACCACTAAAAAGAATGAAACGGACCCATCTACCACAGGCGCGGTGAAGCCCCTGTGGCTGCGATCAGCATCCCATTAAAAAACCCCATCACACCCATCCACGCCCCTCCCCACCTGACTGCCATTCGCACTGCCATCTGCACCTCCGCCCCCACCTCATTCTAGGTAACTACTGTTAGGGTCCAAGCGCCACCCACGCCGGAGCAACAAGGACGCCACCGCCCAGTGCCCAATCAATTAGGTGGCCAGCCCTCACTGGTTCCCCACCAGCAGCCGGATCTCCCAGGAGGCAATGACCAAGCGATGGCGACTCCACACAGGCACGGCCACACCTCCATGAGATCTGGCCATCCTGGCCAAGGTGAGCCACGACATCGGCGGCGGAGCAGCAGGATGTCCAAGGTACGCCACGGCAGGCCTGATGCGTTCGAGTGCGGGGACATGACCTGCTTTGGCTGAGTGGTGGTCGAGGAGGGGTTTACCTATAAGTGGATGGGCATGAGATAAATATCATATCGCAAGTCCAAAAATGAAGCAAGTTGGCGTTATCATCCTTCAAATTGAAGCAAGTTGGTGGTCAAGGAGGGGTTTATCATCCTTGAAGCAAGTGGGAATAAATGATGGGCAAATTGATAAGAATCTGATTTCTCGTTGCTCTATTTTTTGTGGGAACCAGGGGCGGATCCAGCGGTGGGGCAGGAGGGCTCAAGCCCCCCTACCGCCACAGATCCCACAGAGCCCCCCGGAGGAAGTTTCTTGGAGTTTCTAGTTTTCTGCCATTGTTCTACTGTATAGGAGGGGCTGAGTTCGTAGGTTGAAGACGACTTCACGACTTGGGCCGAATGGGCTTTAATTTCCTTCTCATTTCACTAAGCATCTAAGCCTGTTCTTGTAATTTAGCCGAAGCCCAATAAGGCCCATGCGGTGTCCGGCGTCTCCCTTCTCCGAAGCCCACAACGACGCCCTCAATCCTATCCCCGTCCCTGTTCCCCCGACGATCTCTGACTCACGCATCTGTTTGACGGCCGCCAACACAGGGGTGCGGCACGTGACGGCGCAACGATTGAAGCGGAGGCGCAGAGCATGGTGGCAAGCAGCAGCGCCGCCGGCTGCCGCACAACCCGCAACCGGCAAGCCCCCAGTGGGCAAGGGCCAGGGGCACGATGCGCACGGCCGCAGGAGATGGCGAGCCGGTGGCCTTGGCGGCTCTGCGGCTGCCGGCTGGCGTTTGGGTGCGGCCGCAAGGCAGCAGCCAGCAGGCGTCGCAGCAGCATTTCGGGCGGGCAGCGCTGCAGCGGCATTGCGGTAGGCCTGTCAGTGCGTCACATGTGTGGCCGGCTGGCTGCATCTCCAAACCTCGGGTCGCTTGGTAGGTGACTCAACCATTTCTTTTTTACTCAACTTGGGCCCTATGAATTGAATATGAGTATTTTAATTTGTAACTGATGTACTCAGTCTTTGTGTTCTCGTATAAAAATGCTTTAGACTGCTATACATTGCTCTTGTATTGTTCAGCCCCTCCTAAGATTTTTGCTAGATCCGCCCCTGGTGGGAACAGATACAGTAGTTGCTTCCACTATTGTGGTATTTATTAGATTTACATAACTAAGGGAAGGTGAAACAGTATGAAAAGTTTAGAAATAAGGGGGGAGAAAAGAGGAGTGAAAGAGAGGCTTCAAGGAGGGTTTAGCAGATTTATGAGGGGGTTTACCCCCAAATAGAGAATTGGATATTGTGAAGCATATCAAAGAAAGAAATCACAGTCCATCCTCAATGTAAATATCAAATGGTCGGCTCTTGCAGAGATCCCCATCAACAAGAAGCTCTACAGATTCAAATATGCCGGCTTTATAGTCGGTACAGCAGGAACAGTTCTCAGTTTCTACATACCGGTATAGTAGATGTTTACATCATAGATACGAAACTTATTCAATTTTGTGCCACAGGAAAATCACAAATAAAAGTTATCCCGTCCATTCCTAGAATGGGTGCATGAAAATTCCCAATTGCCTAATACCAGTGCTGAATCCCATTGCATATTTTCTTTTGTGTCCAGCAAGGGAAAATGGTGTTTTTGCCCCTGTCCAGAAGTTCAATTGTGATTTTACCCTTATTTTTTCAACTTTGTGATTTTACCCCTGTTATTTTGAAACGAACGAGCAGTTTGCCCCTGGTTTGGATGTCCGTTATTTAGAGGCTGATTAAATGATTTAAAAAAAAATAAAACACATAAAATCAGATGCGAAATGACTGAAATGCCCTTATCACAGTTATCCCATCCGCACCGTGTCCACCAGTGTCTATTGGGCAGGGCGCGCGACATCGACGGGAGGCGCGCAAAGGTGGCGCGCGGTGGTGTGGTGGCTGAGACGGGGCGCTGGCATGGGCGTGCATGCGCTTGACTTCATGGCGCGACAGTGCATTGGCTGGGCAAGCGCCAGCATGCATGGTCATTGTGGTGTGTGGCAAAGGCAGCTGCAAAAGGCTAAGGCAGGTGGCGGCTGCTGGCTTGGGCGCGCTGGCCAATGCAAGGCGAATGGCGCCATGGGCGTCGCGATCTGCTGGCCTGTGGTTGTCTGCCGGAAGCGTCATGGCATGGCTGCTGGGCTTGAGGAGAGGAGGACCTCCTCGCCAGATCCACGCCACCGGAGAAGGAGACAGAGGAGCTCCTCGGTCCCCGTGCCGCGCCGTCGCTGGAGGGAGGAGATAGGGGGCTCCCCGTGCCGCCACCGGATCCGACGTCCCCGCGCCGAGCTGCCACCGGATCCGTCGTCCACGCACCGCACCATCGCCGGAGGGAGGAGAGAGGGGGCTCGATCCCCCGCACCGCCACTAGATCTGGCCGGGGGAGCGGAGGAGCGTCGCCGGATCTCGCCTCCGCCAGATCACCCGCCTCGAGCAGCGAGAGGGACGGGCTCATGCCACCACCACCGCCACACGCCACCACAGCTCCGGGCCATGAGCACAATGACCAGCCCAGCCACTGGCCACGGGGAGGAACGCCACTGAGGAGGGAGTGGTGAGGCGCCACGGGCCGAGGGGGGGGAGGAGGGGGGCGCACAGACGTGAGGAGAGAGTCTGGCGCCGCCGCCCCCTTGTGTCGGGCTGGGAGACGCAGAGCGAGAGGGAGGGTAAAATCACAAGGGCATATTTGTCCTTTGGTATAAAAGTTAACACCATTAGGGGAGGATGACGAAATAGGGGCAAAGTGGTGCTTCGTTTTGAATAAGCAGGGGCAAATTCACAAAGTTAAAAAAAAACAGGTGTAAAATCACAATATCGATATAAAATAGGGGTATGGATGCAAGAGCCCCAAAAAATAATAATTGTTGGCACATGAGGATGATGAAATAGCAAGAGATTGGAATACGTGCTATGAGCATTCAGTATTTTAAGATCATTTTACATGATAGTACGATAAGGTTTACATCATGCATACATGGAAATTCAAATTAGTTTGCAAACATAAACATGATTTATCATTCACTAGAGTCCATCTGGTCTAGATTAGTTGTTCTTTTACCACGAATGAATTATAGCACATGCTCCACCAATGCTCAATTAGGAACCATGATAAACACAAGCGTTGCTTGAATGTGTTCATTGAGAAATACATATGGCATGGATTTTTTGCCCGTAGCAACGTACGGGCACATACCTAGCAGAGGATACGAAATAGCAGAACGGTGGAAGGAAGGGACAGGAAGGAGAGGAGAGGGGGACATCATACTCGCAGTGGAGGCAGTAGAACTGTCCCATGCCTGGGAGGTCCTCATCGACGGGGAGCTCCTTGGCTTCAGCGTCCTTGCCCTGGTCGGCCAGCTTGACGAGCTCGTCGTAGACGGCATCGTCGGCCTTGAGGAGGAACTTGCCGCGGCGAGCCGTCTTGTGCGAGAGGCGGCGCTTCTTGACCTTGCGGTGCGGGCATTTGCCTCCCATCTCGACGAAGAGCGGCGGCGGCGGCAGCTAGGGTTTTCGTTTGGTAGCCGAACTGCGTAGTGGAGAAGAGAAGAACAGAGGATGCAATGCAAGGAGTAGAAGAGGGAGGGCGACGGGCGGGCCAAGCAAGGAAAACCTTAATTCGTTATGTAGCCCATTGGGCCAGATGTGACTGCCCAAGGCTAAGCAGCAAAAGAAGCCCAATCGTTCATTTTGGATGTACTAGCAGCCTGTTATTGTTGCATTTCATCATTTCCTTATTTTTTGCAGTAAAATCTCAGGTATATTACAGGCAAAGAAAGATTTTGTCCTATTTGTTTCCCCGTATATTTTCAACATAAAAAACGAGATCTAGGATAGGAGGGAGGTAAAGCCCAGATTGAAGGCTGTTAGGTCTTTCTGGTAAACAAATCTGCGTGGCATCACGACATCAACTACTCACTCCATCCAATATCATTCCATCAAGTTAGTAAGGAACACCAGAGGAACTGAGAAAGCAAGGGCAGCTGAGCATGTAAAAAACGCTCATGATCAGTATACATTCAGATCTGTCTTCACCATTCACCAATAAAAAGCAAAACCATTACATATGCGACCAACGCAGTCGCGAGTTCATCCCACCATCACATTACAACACTGCTCAACCAATAAGAACATTCTGCCATGAACTTATATACCACAGAAGTTAACAGGTTCTTTATTCTTCTTATGTACATAATGTACCAGGTCAGGTTCTTACATGATCACAGCTGACAATACAACACCACTAGAGCTGCAACACGAGGACAATGAGATGGATGCCTGGTGCTTCCTTGCCTCCTTGGTAGGTAGGTTCATATACAACCCCCAACTGAGAATGGATAAAATGAACACGCCTCAGCGACCGTCTATGTCGATTGTTATAATTCAGTGTTCACAAGACACAAAAACAGCCCTAGTTACGTAAATGGAAGTAAATGCTGATACAATACAACAGGTGTTCATGGAAAAACCAGAGCAAGTGGATTGAAATAAGGACAGGGTGGAGCGATCCATGGATCTCCTATAGTTCAACTTAATGGATTATATAAACAGAAATGAGGTAATAAATTGTCTGATTAGTTCTTTGAGTTGAACTAGAGGAGAACTGCGGATACCCATTGGAGCAACCATCCCCATCCCTTAGATTTAAACAAGCACAAAGTAATCCATGGATGATGAGACCTGGATCATGAGTCACCGCACTTGTACCGTACAGTATTGCTGGTGTTCATCCATCATATACAAGTGTTCCGAAGGCAAGTTAAAGCGCCATACCAAATTATGGCATGGAAGATGAATACAGATAGCTTGTTCATAATCATAGGCTTATTCCCAAAAAACGAATAGTTCACTATCGAGCAAATCATCAATCCCAGCTATGAAGGCGGGGATCGGGAAGACACCTCGCCCAGCATAAGTGTCTGCACAAAGTAGTACTAGTAAGGAAATACTGTACTGCTAGGCGCTTCCTCCAGACAATGAACTAGCAACTGAGCAGGTTCCCAATTTGACCATACATACAATTCAACTAGCGCAAAGCTTCAGGTGCTGGACAATTGACTTGTGCGGCTAAAGTAATGCGGTGAAGCTAGATTGCGAATGGAAGACGTGCTACAGTACTGTGCATCGGATCGTGAATCCTTATCCTAGATCCAATTCCAAGGTACCTGGTGGAAGGGGGCCGGGCGAGCAAAGCAGAGGCGTCGGCAGCAGTCAGTCGAGGTCTTGGTCGTCGAAGTCGTCGGGGAAGGCGTTGAAGAAGTCGGCGTCGGGGGCGGACGGGGGGTGGCGGCCGTCGGTGTCGACCTCCATCATGCTGCTGATGGCGATGCCGACGCCCATGCCCACGGAGGAGGAAGGCGCTGCGTCCTCAGAGTCCATCTCCCCCGCCGAGTCGTCACCCCAGTCCACCGCCGGCGAGGTGGAGTTGTTCATCTCGATCCCTTGATGATGGAAATGGGGTGGAACCTACGGGAAGGAGGAAGAGTTTGTAGTCTACTACAGCAGTGTGTGTGCAGGGCAGCGAGCAAAAGAAACCGGAAAAAGTGTCAGCTCCCTCGACTTCTGCGAAAGTTCACTTTTTCTCTTTAAACTTCAAAATCAGATAAAACATCTTCCTAACTTTTAAAACCGTTTATCTTACCTCCTTAACCCTATTACAAATAATTTTAACTTTTAAAACCATTCATCTTACCTCTTAACCCTATTATAAGCAATTTTAAAGGTGGATTTGTCTTTTCCTTTTTTATTTATTTCAGCTGAATCTTTAAAAAATCATAGTAAATCATAGAAAAATTATAAAATAGAAAATTGAATTTTGTTGGACTCCACATAAGTAGATCTATACAGTGAACATATAATATGGTATGCTTTAGTCCAAAGTTTTTGCTGTATCTTTAGATCTATGATTTTTTGTAATTAAATGAAAGAATTCATAGCTGCAGTTTCTATGGTCCAATTGTGGAAAATTTTTTATGGTGGGCTAATTATTATATGCTTAAGCTATAGTAAAAATTTTATATTTATTGGATAATGTATAACTTAGTATTTAACTTAGTTTTATGCAAGTTAAATATAAATAAGAGTTTGAGCGACGTTAGATTACATGGTCAACCAATGACTAGCAAAGTTAGTACTCCCTCGATTCATTTTTTTTAAACGGTCGGCAGGAGCTCTGTCGGGCTTGTATTGATATAGAAGGAACTCCCTAAGAATGCATCAAGAAAGTTCCGAACCCAACGAAAAAGTGATATGTTACGAATTTCGATGAAATTTTGTTAAAATTGTGAACTATGGTCGAAGAACAGGATCTGGAAGCGTGATACGCTACGTGTGATAGATTTTTGCACTGCAGGATAAAAAATGAGAATCTTAGGAGGATTATAGTTCGATTGATGATCAGTTACATATGCCATCTGGGCTTGCTGCTTCTGCTCACTGTCTCCCTCTTTTTCCTGCTCCGGCTAGGAGCATCCTTCCCTGCCGCCATCACAAGAGTTGATGACTGACGCCGCGTCCTGCTGCTCCCACCGCCGCCTGCTTCGCCATCAATAATGTCCTCCCAGCTACTGCTGCTTTGGCCTATTCGGCAGGACTGAAAAATACTGTTCCGGCTGATTGTTGTGAGAGAAAAATACTGTTCTGGCAGGACGTGAACAGTGATTCTATGAGAGGAAAAATAAGCCAGCTGGCTGGAAACAAGCCAGCCGAACACAGCCTCTCTTCAATCTGCTGCTGTATGGCATCATGGCACATCCCTTCTTCATCCTGTGTCTCGTCACCAACTCGCACATTGCCGTCACCTCCGCCCTGCTCAAGCTCGGGATGATGGCCTGATCGAATATTCGTCCTCTCTTCTCCATCGCCCATTTCTGAATACCCGGGCTTTTGAATCTCTGATGACAAAGCTGCAGGAGGAGGCATTCTTACGCCGTCATCTTCGTCCTCCTCGTCCTCCAGGCTTATGAACTCGTCGCTGGACTTGTTGGTAGCCCCTGTCTCATCCTCGTCCTCGTCCTCATCCTCATCCTCGGGTGCTTCCTCTTGGCCTGCTTCTTCGTCACTGCTGTTCCTCCTTGCCATCTCATCGGATTCCTCCCCAGCGTCCGCCGCTGCCACGTCTCCATCCCCCATTGCTAGCAGCACCTGCACGGCGTGTTTTGCAGCATCGGCAGCCCAGCCGCCGCCGCCGACCTCATCGACGCCATCCAGTTCGCCACCCGCCACCTTCTCTTGTGCTTTGATAAGCAAGTCCATCGCGCCGCTCCTGATGCTCTCAGAGCAGAAACCACCGAGCTGCGCGAATTCCAGCAGGAAATGAACATCGAGCTGGACCTGGGTGGCGCCATGGCGGCCCACGAGTCCAGGTTGTTGGAGAGCCAGAAGATCATCGCCTCCATCAGCTCCCGCAGCAGCTTCTTCATGGTCCCGTCCTCGCCGCTCAAGATGGTGCCGTACACCTCGCTCAGACGCCTCACCCGGAGGAACACCACCTGGAAAGCCACGGAAGGCGTCATCGCGCCCTGCGCCTGCGGCGGCGGTGTTCTGCTTCCGAAGCGGCGGCCCTGCGCTGACGACGACATGGTGTCTCGTATGAACTGCTGGCAGAAGCAGCTCCACACCTGCCCGCCCGCTTCCTTGACCAGCGAGATGAGGCTGTCGACTTCCCTTTGCGCTGACGCCGGAAAATCCGACGTCGGTGGTGATGGTATCCTGAAGACGCCGGACGCCATGACCGGAAACAGGGACACCAACGTCGTGCAGTTGATTAGCACGGCGAGCTGCCACGTGTACCGCTCGTCGCCGGTCGCTTCGTCTTGGAGCTGGAGAGCAGCTGCTTCCTTTCTGGGGATGAGCTCCACGATGGAGTGCATGTACTCCCTGAACAGCTCCGCCACAAGCTGCAAGCCTACTGAATCGTTAGTCCCAATCCCAAGACTGTGCAACGGCCACGCTACGTCTTCCACAACCTCCTGTTCATCCAGCCAAATCATCAATTATACACACATATTGTTTGTGAACAACAATACATTATATATAAATATGTAATAGTACCTGTATAAGGGTGACAAATTTCCTTCCGTTGGTTGTGAGCAGGCAGTACTCAGCCTGCGGTGCTCCAGCAGCACCCTGCACGACTCCAGGTGGCATGAGGAACCTGCCGAGCACCCAGGCGTCGGAAGCCACCAACAGCCGGACCACCTCCCTGAGATGCCTGCCATACATGGCGACGGCGTCTCGGACGCAGGGCACGACGAGGCCAACCACGTCTCGCTCGGAGGCGACGACGTCGACGGCCCTAAGCAGGGGGAAGTAGGAGACCGCGCACTCGGCAGCCTCCAGCGCCAGAGCCAAGCTATGGGCGGCAGTAGCGGGCGACGACATGGACCTCACGTACTCGGAGAAGGCGGCGCTCAGGTCCTCCATCTCCTCCCTCGCCCACCGGACGAGCCGAGGGGTGTAGGGAGACGGGTGCCCGTGCAGTGCCACGAAGCTCCTCGACGTCCGCACGATGGAGGAGAAGACCACGCGCGCCAGGTCCTTGATGTAGTTGCCGCCGCCGCCACCGCTGTTGTGGTGGTGACCTCGCGACGCGCGCAGCTCCTCCACGCCGCGGGCGACGCTCGCGCGGTGCAGCTCGAAGAGCAGGTGGTTCGCCCGCTCCGCGTCGCCGAGCCTGCAGAGGCCGGAGAGCGCCCTGAGGAGCTCGGGCCGCGGCGTCCGCGGGTTCTCCGCCACGGAGACCAGGCGGCCGGCGACCCTCGCCTTCCTGGCGGACAGCGCGCGCACGCTCGACGCGAACGCGATCGCTTCGGCGGCGTCGTCGGCGCCAGCGGCCTGCTGCTGCATCGTCTGCAGCGCTTGGCCTTGCAGCTCCAGGAGCTGGAGGGCCTCGTCCATCCGGTGCTCGGACAGAAGCACGTCCAGTTCCAGGTCCTCGTCGCGTTCGCCTTGATGGTCTGGGAGGAGGATTCCGTCCATGTTGGCGGCCTCCTCCTCCTCGGAACCGGAACTAGGTAGCACCATCGATGACGACGACGATGAGTACAGGCAGTTGGTGCTGAGATGCTGGACCAGCCGCCTGTGTGCCACGACCTGACGCTTCAGGTGATGAACGTCCTTGTCCAGATCACCAGCTTCTTGGAACATCCTGGGCCGCCGTCGATCAAGATAGATATGATAACGAATTAATTAGCAGGTCATGCTCGTATGTATGATGCGGTGTTCTTGGAACGAAGGAGGGTTCCATTTATGTATGTACCTAATGAAGGAGAGGTAGCAGAGATAAACATTAGCGCTGAAGTCTTGCTCGGAGGCCTTCTTGATTTCGAGGAGCTCAGAGCACAGGTGTTGTATGCCCTGGAGCAGTAACGGAAACATACAGTCAGAAACCCTTGAACTCGTGCAGCCGTGTACATGCCAATTGTCAAGGAACTCTGAAACGATTCGAACATCGGAGTAGAGCATGCATGTAGGCAACAACCATTAGCCCGGAGTCGGAACGGAACTAACCTTTGCAGTCATGGATTGGAGTCCCAGGTGCAGGCGGCGGCCGTCCTCCTCCTCCTCCTCTTCTTCTTCCTCCTCGTCATCGTCCTCCTCCGGATCCGTGGCGGTGTCGGTGTCAGGTGCTGTCCCGCTGCCGTTGTCATGGATGTAATCGTCGTAGCCCTTGGCCGCTCCGATGCCGCGGCGGTGCCTCAGAGACGCCATGATTATGATAGATAGATGCCTTGGCTTAGCTTGGTGGACACCGCTGCAGAGCGAGCAGGGCCCGCAGCACATATACTCCAACTCCTATATATGAGCTAGCTAGTCGATGAGATCGATGGATCATATATGTTGATGACAGCTTGCGTTCCTTGGCCTGCTTGAACTCGTTCATGGCGTTGCGCGAGCATCCCTATGAAGACGACGACGATGACAGAGACTACCGCTGCCGGCAGCCGGCCATTGTATATATATATACACACACATAATACATCTCGCAGTGCCTGGCAGATAGCTACGGTTGGCGTGGGACGGCGATCGAGAGAGTCGCACAAATGTACAGTGACGATTAATTCGTGGACAAGCACTACGGGACGCATGGTCTCGGTATGCTCCTTCGTAAGTACATGTGCAACCTGTTCGCTGGGTTTTATTTAACTTATAAGTCATAATTTATTAGTCAACGAATAATATTTTTTTCTCATACCAAACCAACCAATAGTCCTTTTAACCATGACTTATAAATTAAACCAGTCCATACATAGCTCGAGTTCCAACTTGTAACTGCACTGGCCGGATTGGTAAGCGTGAACCCGTGGCCCTTGCATTGGTAGGAGAGCTAGAATCCATGCATATTTCGCATATAAGCCATGGCTTATCAGATAATGAACAATATTTTTCTTTCACACCAAATCAACTAAAGTACTTTCAACCATAACTTATAAGTCAAACCAGTCCAAACCAACACGGCAATACAGCCCACTAGTATAGAGTAGTCGTCATCGTGCTGCTGGAGCTAGCTGAACGAGCTGAGATCTGTGTGTTTTTTTGTTAACGATGATGATGAGTTGAGTTCCCATTGCTGGTCGGCGTGCCGGTAGAGGTCCTGCTCTGTTCAGTTCTGACTTCTCACGTACTCTTTCCGTTCTTAAATATCTATCGTTTTCGTTTTTTGAGAAACAACTTTAACTAAATATATGTTAAAAAATATTAATATTTGTAATACATAATTAGTATTATTAGATAGATATTTAAATCTAGTTTTTTAATAAATTTATTTAAAAATAAAAATATTACACGTATTTTCTATAAATTAAGTCAAAATTATCAACATATAAACCGTGACCATAAACATTCAGGGACGGAAGGATTATAGTAAATACTCCTGCAGCCACATAGTATGACGACGACATGCACGCCCGTCCATGCATCTCGAAACTACCTATAGATTGCCCAGATATGATTGTTGGTTTGGACTTGTTTAACTTATAAGTTGTATTTTTTCAGTCAACGAATAATATTTTTCTTTCACATTAAATCAGTCAACAGTACTTTTAGTCATGGCTTATCAGCCAAACAAGCCCAAAGCAATAGGCCTTTTAGCTTGCCGGTCGGATCTTGTTACGCGGTGGAAATACTGTATGGAGTGACTGCAATCAGCCTGTTCGGCTGGGGCTGAAACGATCGTATACGATCATGGATTATTACTGTTAGCTGGTTTGATGTGAGAGAAAAATATTGTTCTGACTAAAAATTTACGATCGTTTACGACCAAACCAACGTAGCAAATATGTTTGCAATGTGTTCCTTCACCTTCACCCCAATGCAAGGCCCAACTGCCCAAGCTCTCCGACTCCGTGTCTCCGTTGATGGATCCTTGGAACTTTGAAGACCATCTCAGTTGTAGTATAGGTAGAGGACGTGGCAACTAGACTTGGTTCGTACGTACCCAGTTCACACCAGGCTATCATGTGTTTTTTTGTTCTTGGCTGAAGCTGAGTGCGCTATTCGTTGCCAAAAGGCCATGTACTATATTCACAGTTTGCCGGAACGGTGAGCGAAACAGTGACGTCCTTTTCTCCATTGTTTATCACGAAGCGCTTGTTCATCTAATGTCCTAGTCTTTACTAATCCGAGGGCAAACAAGCTAGTAGGCTAGTAGCACAACACTTACATTTAGAGCATCTTTGCTTACCCAAAGAGTTTTAGCTTTATGGTCGTAAGTGCATCTAGTCTTTTCATTAGTGAGTCTTGGTGGACCGAATGACGACAACACGATTACATGCATGTCTAACAAGTTTGATAAGTGTTAAATAGAAAATTAATTAAATGAGGTTGTAGCTAGCTGACAGTCCAATGTTAAATTTGTTTAGTGTTCAGAGTAGACTTCTTACTCATGCTTGTGGCGGACGCGCCTCGAATACATACTGAACCTAATGTCTGAATTTTACTTTGTATAAAGCATGGGAAACCTCTCTTCTAAAAAGATTTAAAAAAACAGCTTGAGCTCATGCAGTCAACAAACACCAAGTCACAACCCAACATGCCTCCCAAGCTTGCCTAGCCATGCTTATTTTTGGCGGACAACTATAAATTGAATTGTCTGCTTGGACCACCTAGAGTTTATAAAGAACTGCTTAAAAACTCTAGCTAATCAAACCTGTCGGTTTATAACCTAGTAGCTATCTAACCATCCAATTTAGAGGGTGTTTAGATGCTTTTAGAATGGTAAAACTTTTGGTCCTAATATTTTTCTGCAAATCTTTAGGTATTCAAACTTTACATCTCGATGTTTAGATGCATGACAAAATTTTAGCACTGTACCAAACAAAGACTGCTTTGCACTCATCATCTTCTTCCTCTGCTCATCCGTACATCGAGCTCGGGCACATCGGCCGTGCGTGAGGGGCAAGCAGCGGCCTCACCGGCGTGCCCTACCCCTCCCCAGCAGCCAGGTTTTGCTAAAAGTTTAGCAGCTCAGGTTTTGCTTTTTTCCATGCTTTTTTAAGCTATTTTGTCAAAAGAGGGGCTAAAACAGTAAAAAATTTAGCAAAAAAGAGGAAATAAATAGGACCTTATAAAACAGTTATAACCTACATCCAGATCCTTCTAGGGACCACGTATGTCGTAGGTGTCTTTTAGCTCCACCTAACGATAGCCACAGTAGATAGCCGGCTAGTTTGTGATATCTCAAACTTTTGAGCCCTCTATAAACATCTCGTGGCAAGCAAATATAGATGGGGAGAATCAGTGTGGGGGCTGAGGCCTGTTTGATTCAGTGTCTGATAATAACTAGTTGACCAATAACTTATGGAACAATTTCTTATTTGGCTTGGGTTTAAAGTTGTCTTTCTTCCTTGGCCCTGAAACAAAATTTCTTATCTATTTAGCCTCACTCGAAGTTTCGTTTTTCAATCTAGCCTTACCGTCATCTCCCGCTGTCGATGTTTGACCACCGATAGCCTGCCACGGGGTCCCCGGGGCAGTATTGTTCGGGCTTCAGCGTATGCGGAACTCGATGGTGAACGCAAGAGACAGTCGATTTATCCTGGTTCGGGCCCTCGATCGTTGATCGAGTAATAGCTCTACGTCCAGTCGGCGTTAGTCTTTGCGTTGGATTGATTGTGTTGTTGTCTTGTCCTCTCTAGAAACCCTGCCCTCCTTTATATAGTCAGGAGGTCAGAATCCTAGTCGGTTTACAATGAGAGTTCTTAATAGGATTACAGGATGATACTACTACTAAGATTACATGGGGAGAATCCTAATTAGACTAGATCTTCTCTCCTCCTTGCGGGGTATCCTGTGGGTCCCGCACCGACAAGCCCCCGAGCACTTCATGGTTGAGCTCTGGAAGCCTCGTCTTGTTCTTTCAGGCTTTGCCGAGCAGGAATAAGCATCGTCCGAGTGCTTTCTTGAGTGAAACCGTGTAGCACTCTGTGAGATCTTCGCGTGGAGTGTACCTTTTTGAAGAAAAAAGTATTCCTCTTTGGGTGTAGCCCCCGAGCCTCTTGCTATTTGGAACAATGAGCTGGAGGGTCTGGTCTTGAAATCACTCTGATCCTTCGTTGAAATGTTCCCGAGCATGTGCCCGGGTTCTTTATCAAAAAGAACTCGGATATAGCTCGGTCCGGCTTTTTTTTGTCATGATTCCTTGAAGTAGTTTTGTCTTAAAAAAGTCTTCTTGGTGACGTGCGCTTTTTCAAAGAAAAAAGTGCACTCATTGAGTGTAGCCCCCGAGCCTCTTGCTATTTGGAACAAGGAGCTGGAGGGTCTTGAATCTTATGTTGTTTTAAAATTGCTGATTTGAAGAAGTCTTTCGAGTGATGTGCGCTTTTTTGAAAAAAGGCACTCACTGAGTGTAGCCCCCGAGCCTCTTGCTGTTTGGAACAAAGAGTTGGAGGGTCTTGAGTCTGATTTGTTCGAGGAACTGAAATCTTCTCCTGTTGTAGCCTCTGAGCATTTATCTGGGTTCTTTGATTCTAAAAGAACTTGGACGCATTGTTCTTGGCGTATTCTCTGATAGTCTGCTGTTTGTCAGGTGTAGTTGTATAGTGGTGGTTGAGTGTAAATGTTGCCTGTTCACGGGTTGTATAGTTTTGGCATATTCTTCTGGATATGCTCGTCTTCGAGTACTGTTCCTTCTGAGTCTTCCATTATTGAGTCCTGTCTTTTCACCGTGTCCTTTGGTCCTTTGAAAGGCTTGTTTCGTTGGTACTCCTAGTCCATGTGCGCCGCTCCTTCGATCTATAAATACCCTCCCGAGGTGCTTGCTTTCATCCATTGAACATTTTGTTGAAAACTTCGTAGTCATGAATATGGTAGTTTGTGAGGTAGAGCAGCCCCCGGGCGTATCTTGTAGTTCCTGTGTGTCTTGTCGTAGCTGGAGGAAGTCTTGTGATAGGGATTAGAGGTAGACTAATCCCGCAGCGGCATTGTACTTGGAAGTACGTGGTGGTAGTTGGAGGAAGTCTTGTGATGTGGGCTTCGTTCCTTCATTCGACAGTTCTGGGTTGATCCTTGCCGTCTGTCTTGAGACTGTCCGGTGCAGATGAACACCTGATCCTGCATCATGTCGGGCTTGGGTAGACAGATGCCTGCCGACTTCCCCTGGTCTATGTTGTCCCGCCGTGCTGCTGATTTCCGCCTTGGATGCACTATGTCCGTCCTTTGAAGAAAACAGTGTAGCCGAGCGCGGTTTGTTCTACCGAGTAGCAATTTGGAGC